GCTCTGATTCTTGCATGAACCACACCTCAGTGAAAATCACCACTTCCACTGTAGATCAAGATATGTGTGTGGCAACTTCTTTGTGAACACCTCCCTGCGGACGAAGGTGGCCAAATAACACCTATCGGGTGATGGCCTTTGTCCCATTTCTTTGGTTCTAGAATCTAGGAACCATATTCTCTTTTCTTACAGCGGTGCCCGTTTCTTATGGACGAAGGTGGCCAAGCAATGCCTGTAGGGGAGCCAGTTGGTCCAGCCCACTTACAGGGTTCGAGTGATGTTTCGTTCATTTGTCGTTGTGTTTTTTTTCTATTTTTCTATTTCTCTGTTTTTCTTCATGCTTTTCTTTAGATTTTTCATTTTTCTGTTTTGGTTCTTTTTCCCTTTCCGTTTTTGTTCTTTCTTTCTCTCTTATTTTTTCTTTTATTTTTTGTGTATTATACAAAAAGTTGAACCATATTATACAAAAGGTTCATTGTATATTAAGAAAATATTTCCATATAGTAAAAAAATGTTCATCCACATATTACAAAAAGTTCACCGTGCATTATAAAAATATTATCATGTTTAATTTTTTTCACCATATATGAAAAAAATGTTTGATGTGTATTTAAAAATGGTTTAGCATATATTACAAAAATGTTCATCGTATATTTTAGAAAAAATCAGCACACATTATTAAATGCAAATGATCCCGAACATTCAGGATTTGACCATGGCAAATCAAACATTTTTTATGAAAATTTCAGTTACGCGAGGATGGCAAGTTTAGTTGACACACACGGCAATCTTCTGGCAAAAAGTACACCAAGCACGGAGTTGCCATGCTTGCCAAATAAAATTGCCATTGAAAACATTTGATTTGCCATGGTCAAATCCCGAACGTTCGGGTGTTATCGGAGTTCTTATTAAAATGTTTATTGTACATTAGGAAAATATTCAACATATTTACAAAAATGTTCAATATGTATATAAAAATGTACAGTTCATATTAAAAAAGTAAGAAATATTCAGAAATTAAAAAACACGTTAAAAATAATTCATATTTCAGAAAAAGTTCAAAATGTTAACCGAGCAAGAAACTGGGTCGCTACGATGAACCATATGCTACAGCGCACCGACTGTTACAGTAAACTGGTTCTCTACAGTGCGTTCTCCTACACTGAGTAACTCTCCTACACTTTACACTTACTGCTTACTGCACCCGCAAAAAAAAAATGCTTACTGGGCCGGTCCATTGTGCTCGTTTCCAGCGTCACGCTCACTGTTTTGACGGCACCATACAGGAGCTCTCCTATTTTAACCGTATGGGTGACCACTTATGATGGATCTGAGACTTGATCGACCCATCAAGTCTAGCAGGTAGCTCCGATAAAAAAAAAAGTCTAGCAGGTAGCAAAACTGCTATAACTGTTTCTTTTGGAAGAGACAATCCGTTCTGACGAGATTCACGTGGAGTGCGGTGCGAACGGCTGCAGGCGTTCAATGTGACTCTAGATCGGCGGCAGAGCTTGTCTAGATTTTAGACACGATCCACGGGCCAACCAAGCGGGTGGTGTGGAGTTGTGTAGGGGCACTGCTTTGGGCACTATGGCTTACTAGAAACAAGTTGACTATTGAGAGTTGCTTTTCAACTCATCCGGCTAATATTATTTATAAATGCAACCTCTTCTTGCAGCAGTGAAGTCCGTTGGGGAGGCGTAAGGATGCTGAGATTCTCAAGAACGCCCAAGACCGACTGATGCAAGTGTATGTGCTGGCTTTTCGAAAAGGGAAGTGTATGTGCTGGCTAGGGAGCCTTCGACCACCACCGACGAGGTGGTCCCTTTTGCGGCTTGAGGAGCTTGCGTGCTTTGTACGGGCTTCGGCCATGTAACATGTTGCTGGCCTGCTTGACCTTTGCCTTATTTAGCTTCGATCGCATCCGTGTCTGGGCCGGTTTGGCTTTTGGTTGGTGTTGTTCTAAGAGTTATGTCGTGTTACACTGTTTGTTGGGGGCTTTATTAAGTTAAAGTTGCACGCATTCTGGCGTCTTCGTTCTAAAAAAATCCGTTCTGTAATCAACTCAATGAAGCGGTGGCATCTCGTCCTGGTCGAAAATGTATCACACCGTGTGAGTGGAGTGGCGAGAGCAATCGATTCATCTTTTGAATCTCTTGAACGAGTGGCGCGCGCGCACCCGGATGTCGGCTAAGTTGCTCCGGAACGAACCACCATCGTGTTTCTGCCACTGTGACTCTGCGAGGCAGCGTGTATATATGTACCTACAACCGAAAGGTGTCAGTAGTGGACGTTCCGGCCGGCCAGTCTTGGCACGTACGTATACACGGTGCTCGTTGAGTTGTAAAGTTCCACAGCATAGCAGCAGCTAGCCAGCACTCCCTCTGCAGAAAGCCAGAAACTGAAGGATCAGCTAGCGGTACATGTATATGGAGGTAATTGTGCGTTGAGTGGATGTCATTGTTTCGCAAAACGTGCGTGCCGCCGCTACTCGTCTCACGTTCACACACACGCCACTACGATCGAGCTGCCAGCAAAATATCTCCTGGGAGGACACCTCTTATTCCACCACCGGCCATCATCAAATCCACTCACGTAGAGTAGAGAGATCATTTGACTATAAATGCTCCACACAGCCATGCCAGAAGAGCCATCCCACGCCTGTGAATGACCTACGCTACAATCCAGAGCACCACTACGTACGTGCACTTCCACTCCCGGACTTGCATCGAAGCAATGGCGTCCAAACCCACAGCATGTTTCCCGGCGCTCTTCCTGGCGCTGAACCTCCTCCTGGTCGCCGGGGTCCGCGGCCAGACCCCCGCGGCCGGCCGCAACCCGTGCCCGACGAACGCGCTGGCCGACCTCAAGGTGTGCGCCGACGTGCTGGTGCTGCTCAAGCTCAAGATCAACGTGCCGGCCAACCAGCAGTGCTGCCCCATGATCGGGCAGCTCGTCAAGCTCGACGTCGCCGCCTGCCTCTGCGCCGCCATCAAGCTCAGCGTCCTCGGCATCCCCATCAACCTGCCGCTCGACATCCCCCTCGTCCTCAACTACTGCGGCCGGAACGCAACTGCAGCCGGCTCCAAATGCTCGTGAAGTCCCAACATATAGCTGATTAAAAAAAACATGCATGCATACTACCTACGTACGTCCATTGGTGTGCTTAATTTACCTTCTCATGTATGCCGTAGGTTTGTTGTATCCGTAGATGTTTCGTTGATTGGCATGTCGATGAACATCCCAAAGGGAAATCACAGAGTTGTTTGTGTTTTACTGCAAATAATAAACGTTCCTCCAGTTTGTCAACTGCATGCGACTGCTAATTTCTCCCGTGTATGTCCAAGCATAAATGTGATATTCTCTCTATTCATATGCGTGGTTTTCACTTTCAGTGTAATCTCACCGAAATTTCATTAATTTCGGTACATACTGAAATAGCTGTCTTTATTTAGGTAGTGCACACAAGTAAAATTATTCTTTGAATTTTCAAGATATTTGGTTGGATCCCAATGAAGTTCAAGTGAAAAATTTCCTTTGTCCGAGACTACTAATTAGCATATGTATAGCAATACCTACAAGAAGAAAAGTTTGTGTTTTCCCTGCAAACCGTTAACTTGGCTCATTTTTTGGGTTCAAATTATTTTGGAGCTCACATGACTCTAATCTATGGCTCTTTTCATCGACGATGGTCGATGCTCTGGTCCTGTGCGACCTTAGCACGGCTACTTTCGATTGTCTATTATCACAAAGTTTGCCCTACTTCGGTGAGAGGGGAACGTTGATTATGACGTGCCTTCGGCTCACTTCAATACTTGTGGTCATCTCTACATGGTCCATCAACCAGGTTCTATTTTTTACATCCAATGTTCTCTGTGACTATCATGATTGAATATGAATAGGTTGAAAGTTTTCGATGCAAAAAAATTTAAGAAGCACAATGAATAGATTGGAAGTTTATCTTGCAAAAAAGAATTAAGGGGCGCATTGAATAGATTGGAAAGAGGGTAAGACAAGAATAACCATGATCAAGAAGAAAAAAACTAATGGCCATGTAGCTACCACTAATTCTCGACATGATCTTTGTTAACCTGCTCATTTTTAGGGCTAAAAGCGGCTTTAAGACTCAATAATGTTCATGGGTATTACTCCTATAAAGGATGCTCAAGTACCCGCCTCCTAGGGGCCTTCGAGGGTGAGCGTGCCTTCCGCATCATCCGCTCCGCAGAGGCGTGCCACGGGGGCTTCTCAGGGGCTCTCCGCATCATTCGATGAGTTCAAGCGCTCCTATTGGTTCGATAAACCTTAAGGTCATTGACTTGAGGGAAAGTTGTTGCTTTCTATAAACTTGTGACTGGGGGCGGGGCCCAATAACTTCCTAACAGGAAGCAATCAACGACAACAATTAGATGTTGAGATTCAAATAAATATCTTATGTACTCTAGAATTCTCTATTTGCTTGTAACTAATCATACACTACAAACCTATATAGGGCGTATTTGTCCCATTTATTTTACTTTCCTTATATTTAAAGAATTTCGGTTTAAGTAAAGATCCACTCCATAGTTATGCCTTGAAAAGAGAAAACTTTACTTAACTTTTGATACAAGCTGCAATTTAAATTTAGAGCGCCGCAAGTTAACTTTTTAAGGACAAGTGCTAGGATTATATAAAGGTGCATCTGTAAGAAACTTTAGCAACCTTACATTTTTTTAGTTTTGCAAATTAAACTAAATGGTAGAATAAGTACTTTAGTTGAGATTGTACTACAACGGAATAAATTAAATAGGTATAAAATTTTGGTATAACTACTTTTTATCTTAACCCATGTTGAATAGAATAGACTATCGTCCACTCTATCATAAGTGATCGTGGGATCTTGGCGCCACATCTGTTTAAGTATGAATTATACGTGTCTGGGAGTCAACCAGGATGTAGAGTGAGCTCGGCATGAAAATGTGAATCTTGTGGTAGACTGAGTGTCATCTCTGAGTCTCTTCTTAGAAGCTTCGAACTTGATCTGCGTTGTTTCTTGCTTGAGAGCCATGTTGTAAAACTGGTCCAACTCATTCGGCTCTGAGAGAATAAGAGTGAGTTGAAGGTCCTCTCTGAGGCCATCCTAAACTGGTAAATCTAGCTCTTCTCATCGGGAACATCTTGCTTGGCATACCGACCAAGCCTCTGGAACTCGGAGTTATATTCATAGACGGACATACTTCCTTGCTTGAGGTTTCTGAATTTCTCGTGCATGCCTTCAGTCACACTTGTTGGAATATGATGAGCACTGAAATCACGACAGAAATCGGTCCAGCTGACCACTTGACCCCCTCTGGAGTCCTTGTACTGCTGCCACCAATCTGCCGCTCGGTTCTTGAGTTGGGAAGTAGCGAACTTGACGTAGTCCTTAGGCCGGACATTGCTGCTTTCGAAGTGCTTGCTGATATCAACAAGCCAATCGTCAACATCAAGAGGCTTGTCGTAGAAGCTGAATGTGACGCCCCCGATTTGACCGTACACTAATCATGTACGTAAATGTGTACGACCAAGATCAGGGACTCACGAGAAGATATCACAACACAACTCTAGACACAAATTAAAATAATACAAGCTTTATATTACAAGCCAGGGGCCTCAAGGGCTCGAATACATAAGCTCGAATACACAAGAGTCAGCGGAAGCAACAATATCTGGGTACAAACATAAGTTAAACAAGTTGCTATAAGATGGCTAGCACAAACAGGGATACAAATCGAAAAGGTAAGGCCTCCTGCCTGGGATCTCCTAAACTACTCCTGGTCGTCATCGATGGCATGCACGTAGTAGTAGACACCTCCAGTGTAGTAGGAGTCGTCGTCGACGGTGGCATCTGGCTCTTGGGCTCCAGCATCTGGTTGTGACAACCAGGAAGAAATGGAAAGGGGGAAAGAGGGAGAAAAGCAACCATGAGTACTCATCCAAAGCACTCGCAAGCAAGAATCTACACCACATATGCATTGGTATCAATGAAATGGGTAGTATCTGTGGACTGAACTGCAGAATGCCAGAATAAGAGGGAGATAGCTAGTCCTATCGAAGACTACGCTTCTGGCAGCCTCCATTTTGAAGCAGTAGAAGAGAGTAGAAGGTAAGTTCACCCAGTAGCATCGAATAGCATAATCCTACCCGATGACCCTCTCCTTGTTGCCCTGTTAGAGAGCGATCACCGGGTTATATATGGCACTTGGAAGGGTGTGTTTTATTAAGTATCCAGTTCTAGTAGTCATAAGGTCAAGGTACAACTCCGAGTCGTCCTGTTACCGATGATCACGACTATTCGAATAGATAAACTTCCCTGCAGGGGTGCACCACGTTACCCAACACGCTCGATCCCCTTTGTCCGGACTGCTACCTCTTGAGCACTGCGTTGGTTTTCCCTTGAAGAGGAAAGGGTGATGCAGCAAAGTAGCGTAAATATTTCCCTCAGTTTTTGAGAACCAAGGTATCAATCCAGTAGGAGGCTACGCGCGAGTCCCTCGCACCTGCACAAAACAAATAAATCCTCGCAACCAACGCGATAAGGGGTTGTCAATCCCTACACGGTCACTTACGAGAGTGAGATCTGATAGATATGATAAGATAATATTTTTTGGTATTTTTATGATAAAGATGCAAAGTAAAATAAAAGGCAATGAAAATAACTAAGTGTTGGAAGATTAATATGATGGAAGATAGACCCGGGGGCCATAGGTTTCACTAGTGGCTTCTCTCAAGAGCATAAGTATTTTACGGTGGGTGAACAAATTACTGTTGAGCAATTGACAGAATTGAGCATAGTTATGAGAATATCTAGGTATGATCATGTATATAGGCATCACGTCCGAGACAAGTAGACTGACTTCTGCCAGCATCTACTACTATTACTCCACACATCGACCGCTATCCAGCATGCATCTAGAGTATTAAGTTCAAGAGAACAGAGTAACGCTTTAAGCAAGATGACATGATGTAGAGGGATAAATTCATGCAATATGATAAAAACCCCATCTTGTTATCCTCGATGGCAACAATACAATACGTGCCTTGCTGCCCCTACTGTCACTGGGAAAGGACACCGCAATATTGAACCCAAAGCTAAGCACTTCTCCCATTGCAAGAAAGATCAATCTAGTAGGCCAAACCAAACTGATAATTCGAACAGACTTGCAAAGATAACCAATCATACATAAAATAATTCAGAGAAGATTCAAAAATTGTTCATAGATAAACTTGTGTTGGAAATATGCCCTAGAGGCAATAATAAATTAGTTATTATTATATTTCCTTGTTCATGATAATCATTTATTATCCATGCTAGAATTGTATTGATAGGAAACTCAGATACATGTGTGGATACATAGACAACACCATGTCCCTAGTAAGCCTCTAGTTGACTAGCTCGTTGATCAATAGATGGTTACGGTTTCCTGACCATGGACATTGGATGTCGTTGATAACGGGATCACATCATTAAGAGAATGATGTGATGGACAAGACCCAATCCTAAGCCTAGCACAAGATCATGTAGTTCGTATGCTAAAGCTTTTCTAATGTCAAGTATCATCTCCTTAGACCATGAGATTGTGCAACTCCCGGATACCGTAGGAGTGCTTTGGGTGTGCCAAACTTCACAACGTAACTGGGTGGCTATAAAGGTACACTACAGGTATCTCCGAAAGTGTTTGTTGGGTTGGCACGAATCGAGACTGGGATTTGTCACTCCGTGTAAACGGAGAGGTATCTCTGGGCCCACTCGGTAGGACATCATCATAATGTGCATAATTTGATCAAGGAGTTGATCACGGGATGATGTGTTACGGAACGAGTAAAGAGACTTGCCGGTAACGAGATTGAACAAGGTATCGGGATACCGACGATCGAATCTCGGGCAAGTATCGTACCGATAGGCAAAGGGAATTGTATACGGGATTGATTAAGTCCTTGACATCGTGGTTCATCCGATGAGATCATCGTGGAGCATGTGGGAGCCAACATGGGTATCCAGATCCCGTTGTTGGTTATTGGCCGGAGAGTTATCTCGGCCATGTCTGCATGACTCCCGAACCCGTAGGGTCTACACACTT